TTTTTATTTATGCCGTCTGTTATAAATTCGACAGCCTTAAGTTTCTAATTCTAAGAAAACTAATGTTCTTTATCTAAATTTATTTATTAGCAAAGAAGGCAAGTTTTATAGTACTCTTCTAGTAATAATCTGAAAATGAAATTTTCGAAACCATAATTTTTGTTTAAGGACTGTTTGCATTGCACTGTTATCTTTCAAGGAAAATTGACTCTGCAAATGAATATTACGTTATCGTAGGAACTTTAGTGTTCTTCATGTCTTTATATTTTAGAAAATGAAGAATAAGTTAAGTGCAAACTATTTTCCGGATATTGTAGGTTGGTCTGTTTTATTTGAAACTTATGCTGAAAAGTTGCAACTATATATTAAACATGTTAAATATTGAATATTTTAAACATAAATTTATGAATCATCCTATGTTTTTGGGGAAAATCTATTTTTGATCTCCATAATTGTATAATTACAATTAATACTTGTATTAAAAATTCCCGGGTAGCCTAATGTTTTAATTCTTATTGAAACTATATTTTGCTTTGTCAAAAAATTTTTTTAAAATTAGCAATAGAAAAAGGGATTTCATAAAATTTTTGCAAATAATTTTGAAAATAAAAATAACCGAACCATCTTATTGTTAAGATGTTTTCGTTTGATGTTAAACTTTTTAAAAAAATGGAAAGGACATGAATATTATTTTAGTTTTAAAAGGGCTTTGGTTTCATGTCTTTAGATTTTAAAAAAAAGATAGAATAAGTTAAGTGCAGGGGTATTTAGGAATATTTTAGTTGGCGTTTATTTTAAAACCCTTTTGCCCTTGGAAGGCAACATATTTTTAAAAACTTTTAAAAAAATTGAATAATTGAATAATTTCCATGAAACATCTTATGTTTGCTGGAAAAATTTCCCTGTTTTTATCTCAAAAATTGTATAATTACAAATTTTACTTGTTATAAGCTTGTAAATATGTTTTTACAAAAAAAACTTTTTGTTTTCGTATTCGTGAATTCCCCGTTTAGGAAATAAACACAATCTAATCATGCATTGATGGTGGATTAATATTGAGCGATATCCTGTGTTATTTTAAACGACGTGTTAATTGCTTAAAGTTCCCAACTAAGTTGATCGGAGTGCGTATTCTCCGTGCCAACGTTTTGGCATTATGATTGATTATCGCACCGAATGGATATAACATAAGGAGAACAAATTTTTTTATAATCATATCTTTTGACTTACACCTAAAAAGTTCTCACAATTTTAAACCATGGGACTATTTTGTAAGTTAAATTTAGGAAAATTTTAAATGATTAAATAAAAGAAATTTTACTGTTTTCTCATAATATCTGACAAATAAAATTAAGTATAAAGGCATTTTTGTAGGAGTTGAATCAATGAGACTTGGGCATTTTGTCCAAACAGACAAATTGAACCCAAATTCGAATTTAAAGGTTTTGGATTGAAAAATGGTTTCCACTGTTGTTGATACACTGTTTTTTGTTTTTGCTTAGGATTTGTTGACATGATATATTTTGTTTTCATAGAGATCACTGAATTTATACGTAATTTTTGTGCTTAATAAAAATTGTGATAATGCAAAACATACTTTCAAGTGTCAAAGATTGAAAGAGTTTAAAAGAACTTTTTGGCAGAGCCACGTTTAGCGCCATACCTTATATAAGAGAACACCGTTATATAAGGGAGTAATTCTTAAAACCGAAATTTTCTTCTACTAATTAACTCTTTATTATTGTCGCCAACTTTGGTACAATGAATTTAAAGAATTTTAACGTGATTATATTATTGGCATCTTTGTAAAACTAACGGACTGGTATTTAAGTACATATGAAAGTGCAATTTTTCTTCTTATTCTGTTATTGTTTTAATTGTATTTAGCATGTAAATGTATTACAAAGACAAAAAGTAACTGTACAAATAGACGCAAACGACACAGAAAATGTTTATGATGTTTAACTGATTTGATCATTTTCTAATTACATTGCAATAATAAATATATATCAAGGAGAACGACTGTTGTGGAGTCAAGGTGTCTGCCTCTTAACCTGGGAATTGTCGGTTTAAACCTGACCTCTGTCACGACTCTTTTTCCTCATGTGACATTAGTATTTGTTAGTTTTAGAACGAGGGTTAAACTACGCTAAACGTTGTCTTCACAGTGGATTTCGAAAACTATTCAGCAGATCAGAAGAAAAATAAATTTAGGGCTGCATAGAGCTTGGCGGCACGTGGATACATTGACTTTAATAAACGCCTTTTTTCCGCAAGAAATTAATATGAATAATATGTACAATATGCAATTAAATGCATGGATGTAGCCCACAGATGGTTGTTGTAGAAGGAATATTACTTTTAGATAGTGTTATTTAAAGTCTCCTTCTAATATTTGTGTATATATGGGTTATATTGGTCTCGTAAATCAACTTTCCATGGCGATACATGTATATAGTAACAACGCATTTCTGTAACATTGTTTCCCTAACATTTAGTCATTTATCTACATGAAAAGGAAACATCGATATTTAAAAAGAACAAGTTACAACAGCAAATGGATATTTACTATAAAATCTATCTAATTCTTACTTATTTTTATGTTCGGCTTGGATCCTGTCACATTAAGTTGTTTTGGAAATATCACAAACTAACCAACTAACTAAATAACAAATGGCCATAATTGCATGTTTAACCCCCGCGTCAATGAAAAAAAATACGACAGTATTATAAGCATGAAGAATTTAGCAATAACAACAGCAATTGTTTGTTTGTGATATTTGATATTTTGTAATTGTACTTCCGTGAAGAGTACTTTCTAAATTTTCTAGGATAGCTTCATGTCATAACTTTTAAAACTGTTCCTGTTTATGTCGTTTTGACGGTCGTTTGTAATGCATGCATTTTCAAACAATAGACTTTTAATAGTATGCATACTTCTCACGTTATCATTTAACGGTAATAAATATAATAATACTAATTATATAAAAGTGAATAGAAAAAGACCTTTCATATGCTTTATTTCCATGTTTTATACAGTTTATAAATGCAAGCTTGGTTTTATGGATCTTCGCGACGATGACATTTCAGGTGACATTATGGTGACACCGATGTGGGGTCATAATTAAAAACTTTCGACCTTTCATTCTGTACCCGACAATATTGTAACTAATAATATTACCTTTCAGAAGTATAGACAAGTTTATCGTTGAGACCACCCGGAAATGATATGCGTTTTTTTGCTGTTGTTGACTTGTGAATGAAATGCATGAAGTGATTTTTCTTGAAATGGTGTGCTATCATCCTAGCTCTGGACAGGAGCGAAAAATTCTAATTAATACATTTGTGCATCGAATTATTTAAGCGATTTTTTAACTCGAAACTAGTAAACAAAATTCAAATTTGAACTTGATGAAGGTAACAACTGTAGTACCTGAATTTTATTATAAAAGTATCGGTCTAATTATTAATGGCTAATACATGTATATCTATCTGTAAGAATCTCTCTCCATTGCGATTTTCATAATACATACGAAATATTATGTTGTAGAAGCTTTATGAAAATGTGCATTCTGCTACGATCAGAGTGGGAAACTTTATATTCCGCTAGTCGGAAGGAGACCACCTCCTTATCAGTATTGGTTCTCGTTAACTAACGCTTCGCAATGCACAACCAGCGAGAATTCCACTGCAATAAATATGACATCTTATTTGTCACTCACATAATACGGATTTTTGTTCTATCCGTTGAATCATACGCTTCATCATTTGCGTGTATATAATGGATAAAATGTTATGGTATGCAATTTATCCCATCACAAAAAACGACAAAAGAATATGTCTTAATTGGCTGTATTTATTTCTGATATTTTTGTCAAGGGCTGGTAATCAAGAATATAACGCATTTTGTAACAAAATTCCATGTATGTCCCGATATCGATCAAATGTGTTATGATCAGTTATGCCATACAAATAATCGAAGTAACTACAGTAGCATATTTTTATATTTTCATTGCTACAAGTTCTTTTTCAGCAACCAAACATTAACATTCACCTTTGTTTCGAACTCTGCACAAAAATATTAATTATTAAATTCATTAATGAAATTCAATGGAGACATATAGGAAAAGAATATCATAGTCATGTGGAATGGAATATTCATGATATGTACGTCTCTTGAGAATGACTAAGATGTGTTTTCCAATCAACGAAATTTTTCACTGTGTATATAGAATATATTATATATTATAATACATAATTATGTTGTACAATTTGAAATCAAGTAAGTTTGAATTAAAGTTCTTCAAAAATCGTACATTTCAGCTAAATGGTAAATACATAGAAAAACAAAATCTTATCCAGAAAGAAAGCTGTACCCGAAAACGGAAATGTTTATAGCAACACAGTATTGAGAGAGAGAGAGAGAGTCCATGTCCTTGAATCCACATGCTAGTAAATATATAATATCTCTAAAGTTAACTTACCTTTAAAAAAGCCACATAACAGAAATAGGTAGATATATTTTTTAATTTCATACAGAAAATCACTTTGCCAAACAAATATGATTATTATCTCAGTTTTTTTCTTGGTATCAATTTTTAATGACGTCATATTTCTTTGGATTTAGCTCAATACAGGATTGGAGCAGTACCTCTAGACGCTTGCAGAAATCATGATCACAAAATAGACAAATATCGTTTTTTTTCGCCGATTTTTACATTTTTCCTTCATTATCGTACTTAATTCTGTGTGAAAAGATGAATTAGACCTGTTTAAGTTCATTCCGTTGGGTAAAAAGGCAAGATTTTAGCATTTTATCATTCAAGCGCCTTGTCCGGTATATACCGGAATACGGTATTTAGTGTGGTAATATTTCCGAACAGCCGTTTATATAGGGCTATATAACCTGTCAAAAAACTAATAGTGAACGTTTAAAAATTTATTTTTAAAATTACTTCCCTTTAACCGCTGATCTTCAACTAAACTGTCAGCGACATACAATGAAAAAAAATACAGACATGTTCTTTCTGTTTATACTTAATATCGTGAATAAATTGCAGTTAAACTGCAAAGTTCATTTTTAAAATGCTATGGGAAAAGAACAAACAAAATTCATTTATTTGCATACAAATGTACATGTAACATACAAAACATACATAGCATAACATAGAAAGACACATTTCTAAAAACTATTTCAGCACAGAATATAACATTAATTTATTAACTCAAAACGTTTTATAAAGTTATATCAGTATAGTGCAACGTAATTGTAAAGTTACAAATGTATACAAAATTCACATGACATGGTATTCTAGTTGCATTCAGTTGTATTATAAGTAAAAACACTTCAATTAACAGTAATGATTACTAGTTATATTACTAAATAAACAATAATTTAAACTGTTAAATGGCAATATTCTTGTTGCCAAGGGATCGTGATTCGAACAAAATATTGAATAAATAAAATCACACTACATAGTCTACAGTAATTTCATATTATAAACGAAACTTGTGACATGTTTATTATATAAAAATTAGAATCTTAATGCACCTATCCCTACAAATATCTATTTGATATTCAAGTACATTCAGACATGCTTTATTCTTCCAACTCAAGTACTTTTATTGTATTTAAATAGTTAGAAGTCACAATGAGCGTGTTTCTTTTTTTATCAAAGCAAATGTTTATAGGGAACATTAAACCACAGTTTGCCGCTACTATCTCTCTTTTACAGTTCCCATCTTTGCTGAACATCACGATATTATGGGAATTGAATCCGCACAAAAACACAGTACCATCACCAGCAACACATACAGCACGACAGACTTGAAGTCTACCATCCCTCAGCTCCCTCATCACTGTACCATCTTTATTAAAACATACAGCACCATCAGACAAATATGCAACGATCACAGTATCACCAGTCACAGACATATGTTGGGGAATTGATTTAAATATCCTGTTAACATTGTGATTTTTATCAACAGATTTGATCAAAGTACCTGCAGTATTATATATGTTAATACCACCACCAGTAGATACCCAAAGTCCACCATCACAATATGTCATTCCATAATAACCCCCGCCTGATATTGAAATACATCTGGCTTTAGACAGAGATGTTTCAACAGATACAAACTGGACTGTGTTGTTGGTCATCTAAATAGCGACTTCATTGCTGCAGATACAACATATGCCAGTGGGATTGGCATCTAATGCACAACTTTCTACGGCGTTGTATTTAAGGTCAAGCATTTTAACATTCCTGTTTGTATAATATGTTAGCAAGATTCTACCGTCTGGTAGTTGACATATATCAGAGATTGCGTATGTATTTATGTCACTGTTCACATTGTAATCTTTCATTGCCTTCACTTTGTATTGCTTTGGTTTTGTCAATTGTTTGCCTTCTTGAACCTGACCAAAAGAATCAACTGATGAAACAAATTCTGCTAATGCTTTATTAGCTGTAAAACTGATTGAACATATTCCTTTAGAAACGGATTGTGCATGTAATTCTCTGGCATTTTTAATAGTCTTCTTTGTCAGATTCAAGTGAATGAATTGCTGCTCTGCGGTAAGACTATCAATTGACTTCAGGAGCTGTAAACTCTCCTTCAAAGACTCAATCATACTAGATGCTGTGCTGATTTCATGCTCAAGTCCAAATTTCATAATGTCATACTTTTTGGTTACAGATTGCTTTGCCTCTTGTTTCAATTTTCTGATGCGCTGTATCATCTTTTCCTCAATATCATGTAATGTCTTGTCTATGTCTTTCCTTTCCTCCTCAAGTGAAGACAGATTGTGCTTTTGTTTCTCTGTTGCATTTATTAAGGTTTCCTTAGCTGTCGTTATTTCATCAGAGAGGCGATTAATCTCGGTGCGATTTACACTGGACATCAACTTGGACTCAATTCTGTCTACATATTCACAAGCTCTGAAATATATACAATGTATAACATGATGTAATAATTAACATCAGTAATACATGTCATGTATCACAATACTACAACGTGACTGTTTCACTTTTTTCGTTGGTTTTATCTTCTTATTTTTTTCGTAGGCCTATTCGAAAAAAGAAGATATCTTAGTGTTTGACATCGCAGTGGAATACTCAAAATCTTCATCGGGATTTGAAAATGTCCGTATTAAAGGAAATGAACAGTAGTATGAAAACTATAATTCAATACAATAGAATTAAATGCATATCATCATTTTTTAATTCAATGCATTTCTAAATGCAAACCGTCAGTTACATGTCTAATTGATTTTAAAAGCACTGGATTTTGTTAAATTACATTACTTTACAATCACCGGTATTAATAACATCAAACGTTATTTAACCTAAAATAAAATAAAATACAAAAGTGTGTTTAAAAAAATATGGTATAACCAGAGCCACGCCGGGCGGAGGCAAAACTTGACATTTTTTTACTTTTTAGGTCTGTCTAGTCATACTAAGTCTTGTAGTTTTGTGCAAGTATGACTCATTTTTATGAATAGATAACAAAAAAAATCATCTGACTAATCAAGGTTATTTAAAGGTCAAGGTCTAAATTACTCAACATGTCCGTTTCGTCACAAGTGTTATGCTGTACTCGACGTTTGAATCAACGCTGTACATGAATAACAAAGTTATGACAACTCACTAAAATTCAATAATTTGACCTTGACGGTCAATGTCATTTCAATCTCAAGGTTTAGGTCAGTTCATATTTAGGAGATTCTTTCCAAATGTTTTCTTCGTCCAAGTATGAAGATAATCCTTTCATTTATTACAAAATTCAATTTAAATTTGATATTCATTAAGGTCTTATCTTATAAAAGGTTTTATCTTAATATTTAGTCACTCCATTTATTAATTATAACAAAGTTAAAGCCAGTTTCAGAAAAAAGAGAAAATTGTAATAATTTGGCATTCAAGGCCAAGGTCATTTAGGAGAGAAGGTCAAAGTATTTCTGGTTAACTTGCAGGTTTATCCTAAAAGATTGTTGTGTTCAAGTGTGATGACAATCTATGGTATCATCACCAATAGCCAAAATCAGCAACAAACAAACAAATTTAGACAGTTGACCTTAAAGGGCAATGTCATTCATGAACGAAGGTCCAGTTTGAAGGTCTTGTTTCTAGGCTTGTTGTGACCAAATATAAAGACAATCCATAATAAACTTTAAAAGTTATAATCAAGGTTAAAGTTTGCGGACGGCAGCAGGAACACAGTCAATACCACTATTTTTTTCTTATAAAAAATACCGTCGAAATGAAAATGTCATACATGATTATCATTTCAGGACAAATGATAAACATGTTAACTAATTGCATGCCATATGTGAAAAGTTTAGCTTAAGATTTTATATGAATAATAAAGCTACATGAAATGTATCAATTTTAAATGAAATGCGTTGCCTGTGATCTGTTGCTATGCACATGGTACAATAAACCATATCATGTGTTCTGCAAATCATCTCTATATCTCGGTCCGGATGATAGAGGCATTTAGTTTTAGCAACAGAAAGACTGTGTTTGGCATCCTTTTTATCAACCAGGTTGTGTGATTTTGTAGCATTCCGCCTAGTATGCTGCCTTGTACATCTTGTACAGAGATACTCGTCGCACTCAGGACAATATTTCACAGCTTCTTCATTGATATTGTCCTCTCCACATGGTGTGCAGCAGTTTTCATCACAGGCACCAGAGCCATCTGTAAACGACGGGAAGGAAGTTTCTTCGGCCATTCTACAATATAAAAAGTTGTTCATATGTATACTTAATAATATTTAGCGACAGTCACACTAAACGCATTTGAAAATGCTTCCGTAAATATAAAGAATAATTTAATATTTACCTATTTAGATGCTCTGCTGAACCGTATATGTCACGGAAATAATATGTAACACACGAGTGAAATATCATGCGCAAACTGATATGGTACACAAAATGTGACATATATGAGCGGTGAAGTTTTATACACACACATTGTGCAGACTCAGTACATGATTATAATAATAGCAACATTATAAATGTTTTAAATTTATATGCATGGCAATGTTGTTGAATTATTTGGAATCATATTTTGCAGAGTTATTAAAGTTTGTAATTGATTGAATGGAAGTAAAATTGTGCAGACTCAGTACATGATTATGATAATACATGTTATAACATTATTGTTGTATTAGATTTATATGTATTGCAATGCTTTTGAATTCTTTGGAATAATATTTTGCCGAGATATTTCAGTTTGTATCAAACATTTTGAAAGTCACTTTTACTGCATTTTAATCTTATCCATTAAAGACAGTTAAATAAATTGTAATTAATTAAATATGGAAATATGATGACTTGTTGATGATGCAAATGTAATGATGATGTTGTTGTTGTTGTTGTTGACGATAATAATGATGATTGTAATGATAATGATATTGTTGTTGCTTATAGTAATGTAGGGTAAATGATGATCTTGTTGGAAGTGACCATAATGATGATAATGATGATGATCACTATAGTCGTTTTTCATAGAAGTATTCTCAATTATTGTCGTCTTCTTGATTGTTAATTATGATCTTGATGACACATGTGATGACAATGATGATGATGATGATGATTAATAATAAGAATAATAATAATAGTCAGAATTATTCAACAAACATTGATGATGATAATGATGATAATAATGCAAGTGATTTATAATTAAAATAATAATAATAATAATAATAATAATTATAATAAAATCATCATGACCATCATCATCATCATTATTATTATTTTATTATTTTTTTGGTATGTTTATTGCTCCAATGGTGATGAAATTTCGGTAAGGTAGGTCGTAGTACTGCTGCTACTTAGTTAAATGTAAGTCGTGTAAATAAAGAACTAGTTATGTTAACGATGATTGTTGTGATGACAAGATGAACTTTTTTGTGATGAAAAGTATGTGGCTGTTGTTCAAAATGATGATGGGGATAAGTAGGGGTACGTGTGTTAGCAATGTCTCTGGTGCTTTGCAAGAAAAACTGGAAACTTCTCCAGATAATTAAGATGTGGGGGCTATTGATTGTATGCAAAATGTATCTTACCGTTATGACGCACACGCACCTAGCTAATTATGTAACATATGAGCTTAGCAGGTGATATTCCCGGGCTGAATTTGTTTTTTAAAAGTGGTCAAGGAAAAGTTTAAAACGGCGATAAAGGTCATTTATAATAAAATATCACCAAAGTGTAAACTATATAATTTATAAATGTTTTATCTTTCAAAGACGTTAAGACATTTCACGAAAAAGTATGCAGGGTACAAAAATATAATTTGGTAAGTATGTCGCATTCCTTAACAGGGTTCCTACAAGTAACTAAGTTTCCTATAGGCCATGCTGAACGCGAAAATGATATAACTAATTGAATAAACTTTCTATATTGAAGTGGGTGAACCTTTGTGTGAATTTTCCTTTGATATATATTAAGTATATAATCTCTTTCACACTTTCTTTGTGTCTTTAATTGACAGTATGTTGTTTAATGAATTGAAAGCAAAACATGAATACAAATGGAACTGGCAACACATAGCATGTGATACCGGCAAATTTAATTAATTTGTGAGCAACATTTTGTAACAAAGGTAAATACAAATTGATATTTTTTATTCTTACAATAAGTGGATAAACAATTTATGTATATTTTATTCCATTCATTCATTCATTGACATGCAATAAACTGATAAAGCCTCAATGGATGAAAGTGTCTTGTATAAGAGTGGGCAATACGATCGTCATGAATTAAGGGCTGAGGAATTCTTGGAGAAAGTTGGTGAAATTTATAGACGTTAATAAAAGTGTGGTTTTCTGATTTAAAGAAATATAGACAATGTCTATTAACTTCTCATATCATATATAACTCAAAATGTAAATAAAAAAATATATATATACATGTATATATGTTTGTTCTCTCTATGTTATATTTCAATGATGTAATATATCTAAGTGTTTGTCAGCTGTAAATTGTTGTTCATGTTGTTATGCGCTAAATTATAGGTTTTACTGAAGGTGGATTGAATTACAACACAAAGTTCCGTTTTATAATTTAATGTCACTTTTTAGTTGAATACCACAAACATTTATTATATATTAAATATACACAGGTTATTCTGATAGATATTAAAAACCAAAACAATTATTTCTAGTGGAAAGCCACAATGTTATCACTTGGAAATCCAAAATTTAACTGACTTTAAATTTTGTACATGTATTTTTACAATATTTTTAAAATTGTTTTCGTTTAAAACTGACCAATAGAATTTTAACATTTTTGTGTTTTAAATAACAAAATGACCAATTAGGTTTCAATACAAAATAATGTAACATAGCAACATAGAATTTATAACAAAAATCATTACCTTGGCATTTTATCAGTCATAAGGTTTAACAACCTAATAAGTAAAGACAGCTTAATTGACATTATTACCTTAATATAATAAAACTTTTAGCACAATTGATTGTACAAAGAGGAAAAGCCACATTTTAATCTTTCGGTTACATAATTTTGAATTTGACATCCGTTATTAAAACATATAATATATTGTAACTTAACATGTTTGAAATTTTACACATTGTTTTGAAAATATTGCCTTTTTAGAAAATTATTATATTTATAAGTTTTTTGTGTTTAAAAGAAATTAACATGCATAATTATTTATTTTTTTTTAAAATTTCTCCACCACGTGTTATGCGCTAAAATTATAGGTTTTACTGAAGGTGGATTAAATTACAACACAAAGTTCCGTTTCATATTAATGTCACTTTTTTCGTGAAATATCACAAACATTTATTATATATTAAATATACACAGGTTATTCTAATAAATATAAAAAAACCAAAACAATTATTTCTAGTGGAAAGCCACAATGTTATCACTTGGAAATCCAAAATTTAACTAACTTTAAATTTTCTACATGTATTTTTACAATTTCGGTTACATAATTTTAAATTTGACATCCGTTATTAAAACATATAATGTTACATAAATAATAGAATCCTATAATTATTATACTAAAATGAATAAAATTTCTAACTTGTACTGTTGTATACAGTATATTTACTAAACTCATTACCATTGATTCGCTTATTGTTTTCATGTTTACTGTTTTGACAAGTATTACGTGACTTATAGGCCCAATGGGCCGGGTGCATGCCTTTATGTAACTGTATATTGTCGTCATTATTTATGTTTGCACATGTCACTTTAATAAAATATTTTCTTACTTACTTACTTATAATATTTGTAACTTAACATATTTAAAATTTTACACATTGTTTTAAAAATATGGCCTTTTTAGAAAATAATTATATTTATATGTTTTTGTGTTTAAAAGAAATTAACATTCATATTCATTTTTTAAACAAAAAAGGATTTTTATTATTTTTCGGCTGCACAACTATGTTATGTTTTATTGCATGTTAAATAAATTATTATATGTTTTATTGGTTTATGAATTAATTACTGAAAAAAATATTTCATGTTAGAAATGACTGTAAATTTTCCTTTCATTAAAAAATTATTAATCAAATAATACTAGAAATAATTAAAATAAACATATAAAAGCATTATGTTGTTGACTATTTACTTTATTGAAAAGAAATTGGATGGTGAAGTGTCTGGGGTGAAGTGTCTTGCTACCCTATCCGCGACATACACACATTTTTTTTTAAAACAGTGACAACGCAAAAAAATCATGGGGCTAGAAATCGGCCCCAGTACTCATAAGTTTAGATCAAGATACGTACCTGAAATAAAATTTATCTTGACTTTTGTGTTCTCTTTATATTAGTCCATTCTATTGTTTACAATAACAACTTATTTACTTTGAACGGTCATTTTGCGACTTGTTTAACTACTAGTGTATACAAGATTAAAATCGGTTTAAACGTTCTTTTAATAAACTGGCTACTTTTAGGCGTTATGAAAATTTTATGGTCAACATTTACGAAAGTGCAACATATTTAATGCCAGTTCTTTTGATTATTTATTGTGTAAAGTATTAACCGAGGTGGTAAAGATCGATATCATAGATTTAAACAAACAATGGCATTTTTACGTTATTATGAAAAGAAATAGTTATTTTAATGGCTGTAAAACATTGTTTAAAACATATCAACTTCTGCTACTATAAAAATCAGTTTGATATATCTTACCTTATTTAGCTCTTAAGTAAAACTCCATAAAAGAAACATGAATCTTTTAACAAATTTGATCCTAGTTTAGTTTTCGTTAAACCGGTGTCTCGTGTAATTTCTAATCGTAACATTCACATATCTATTCTAGTATGAAAATGCGGCTTTGTACTGCAAAATTTATAGACGTGTAGAAGAAGTGTAAATTAAAGTCAAGACAAGTTGATGTTTACCTTCCACTTATTTAATATATAACAATTCTATTATAAGTTTGATATGATGTAACTGATATCTTATTATTCTTAATTATTTAGTTTATAACTGCAATATCAATCAAACGGACTAAATTTAAATGTAAATAAACTTAACAAAAACAACATCCCGCTTAATATAAGTCACCAACATAATTATCAATTTAATGTATTATTCAAATTCAAGTACTCTGTTGCGTTTGACCACGGATTTACATTACATATGTAATATAAATCCGTGGTTTGACATGGTCGTTGGCTTGAAACAATAAAATGTATGGTTAAACATTTCAAACAACACCATGATTGAGTGTAGAAACTTTTTATATATCATGACTCTTACGAGACAGTTTATTGCAATACTGGTTGTAACAGCGATTTCCTTCGACTATCGCACTACACTCAGACTTTAACTTAATTTAGAAATGTCTGTTAGAATATGCATGTACTATCATTATTACAACTGTATTAATTGTAGTCTAATTAAAAACAGAGCCATGAACATGATTGGTTTATGTTCAATTCATTTTAAGTTTGAATGATGAAGGGGGTTCATGTCAATTCTGCAGGACTCTGACAAAACTTGGGCTGGTAATAACGGTGTGTTTAAATCAGGAGGAACAGTTATTTCCAATATTTCATCGTACATAGTAATTGCGCTTTATTGTCACTACCATTATGGAAAAATTAATAAAACTGGTACTATGTAACATAGAACGTTTCATCAGCCATATATATTTCTATCAACTAATTTTAAATAGTAATTGATTTTTTTGTTCTATGAAATTTAAAACTCTCTAAAAATTTAAGACACATGACTGACAAAAAAGCTGATCCTCATTTATCTTTTTGCGAATTGCTTACCCATGCAACGGTTTATACTTTGAGTTAAACGAAGTTAAAGTGGTAACATTGTGTCATAGACAGCAATACATGCATGCTATATGGTACCAAACATGGTATATTAGTAATAGTTCTTGTCACAAAGTTCACCCGAGAAAATATTTTGAACATACTTTGATTGAAATATTTGTTTTTAAATGTTGGCGTCTTTACAGAAACTTTTTATGAACAATAATAATAATCATTTAGTGTCAGAGACATACATTGAAAATTGACCATTGTATCGTAGTCTATAAATTGTTTATTGTGGTTTGTACATGTCATGTTCTGCTATTAGCATCGTGTTTAAATTGGCAAAATAAATGTTATAACGAGCAAATTATGGAGATTATTTCTAGCATGATGCTCGTTTTTATTTTACTGAAATAATCAAAGTTCATACACAGACATTTGGTAACGACAGTTTCACTTAAAGATCCTGTATGTTATGTAAATAATTTACAAAAAGTATATGAAAGGTTTGATAAACGGTAAATGTGATCATGGTACGGAAAAAAAATCAAAATTTGTAATTTATTTCAGAAAATAAATTGATGAAAATTCTTCGACGTTTACTCGGTGTTCCTAAATATAGCACAACGGCACGTCATCAGCAACACATGGTCGGTCACGTGACCCATTTTTCAAGTAAAAAAAACATGGATGCCGAAGACAGCGACTAATCAAGGACAGTAGGCTATTTTTATAATTTTACTTTTCTTTTTTCATTTTAAAGATTAACCTGACCTGTAGCAAAAACGCGAGATACGCCGCTATGTCTGTTTAGACGCTGTGTGGGCATGTGTCAGTGACCTCTGTTAATTTACATATTATAATGATGTAACATTACCATCGATTGTTTACGACGATAACCATGCGACTTATTACATTCTGACCGCCGGAATTGTTTTGTTATTCATTTGAAGACCATCTTTAACACATACAAAACTATTATCTTTTTTCTTCTATTTAACGTAATATGAAATGTTACAGGATTTTTAAAGTAACGACCACTTTATTATCTATTTTTAATTATGTTTTAAAGTTACTACTCTACAAATGACAAAAACAATTGAAGATATACAGAAAGCTAAGAGGCAGAGATTTAAAGAAAAGAATAACGGGGCCTTCTTGATAGTTTGAGAAAAACATCTACATGTATAATAAATATATGTACCAATAATTCGATCTCTTCAACGGCCATACGGCAGCATACAACCAGGAGCAGATTTTGTCGAATAATCGAGCACTTGTGGATATGTAAGTCAGTTAAACAATCAGAACAGAGCGAGAATGATGGTCAGAATTTACTGTCCAAACAGTTTAAATTTACAAAGAATAAGAATATTAAAAATGCTGTTACTACGATACCGGGTAGATATTATGGTCCAGTGACAGTAACAACTGACTGAGCTTAGCAATATGCGTATTTGATTGACAGTTATCAAATACTTAACTGAATCTTTCGTGATAAACTTTTATCTGATTTCATTTAAAATGAGAAACATGCCCACTTTGTTTCCAGAAATTAGTGTTACATTGGAGAGGTCTTTTTTACAGCAGGCATTATTTCTGCTCGACAATCAAACATTTGACCAGTTAATACTATTTTAGAAAAACTGACGTTAACTTGTTTCCGCAGAATATTTTCACGTAACTTTATATTCGATTGATTAATTGATCTAGCTTACTATTTTACTTAAAGAAACGACGGAAAGGAACCATTTTCGGCCATTCTGCAGTAAACAAACTTATTTAATTCATGTACGTTGCTTTTAGTGGCTAAACATAAGATAATTTAAACATCATTTAAATTTACCACAGTTCTTTGGAATCACCAAAATTATAAAAGTCGTATGTCGGCACGTTTCTCCTTCATGGTGGAGGAAGACCCCGTATTTCTCTTAATTGCTATATAGCACAATTGAAAAGGAAAGAAAAGACTCTCTGTCTTCCGCAAACTAGCTGGACAACTTCTTAAGATTACACAATAGTACCGGATGGGACTTTAAGGGGTTAAAGGAAAGAAATTATTGAATATTATTTAGTGTGTGCTAGACAATCACATAATGCAAATACATGTGTTTTTTCTTTGTATTTTCTTTGTTCTTTAACTTGCAAATACATGTGTCTATTACGTATGCATGTTGATTTAATTCATCCATTTTTGTGTTATGCATACATAATGTCATTCATTTTCATCCTATATGTATCGTTCAATATTATATCATTCATCAAATACTCGTGCCGACTCAATAGACAGGGTACCAGATTATAGATCGGGAAATATGAAATTAGTCAACGCCTATAAACGGGGAAGTCGGTTGAAATAATCGTTCATCATCTTTTACAATTTTGGCCATTCGGTATTTAATGCACTGCTTCCGTTTATTCTGGTTCCCTGTCCTATTATGGTTCCTATAAAAGTGCACTGGACATCAGTCTACGCATCAGTTTACAATAAAAAATCCTCCTTGTAATTAGAAATGTTGCGATGTATCAATGTCCCAAAATATTCCAGTACATCCGGCGAAAGTTTTCAAACCATCACTTTCTAGCAAGTACCTGTACAAGTGAAATGTTAAGGAAATGAATATCAATTCTGAGTGCATTGTTGTAGAATAATGCACGGTTTGAGTTCAAATGCGTATTATAATAATCTCGAAGGTCGACAGGTGTGATTTATTAGAAAGCATTTGTTAGAAAAACCATGCATTATTATACTAAAGTGCACAAAGAATTAATATCAATTTCCGTTCTAACACGTCAAGAAAAAAATATAGTTGGACTTTATGCTTGGTTGTTAAATTTTGTTTTCACCTCAGAGTTTCCAATAGAAACGTTCTTTAAAGGCTTTTCCAGCCGATTAAAAAAAATTGTCGTTAAGTCTACCGCGTGTAGAAACATTTTGAGAATAACGGATTATGAAACGTTAATTAATTGTTTGTGTGTTTGTTTTATTTCACTATATATTTTCAAGCGAAATAGAAAGTATTTATAGTGAAATAAATATGAAATTTAACTGTTTTTTTAAGGCTTTTGTTTTGACTGTTATTGCACGTGCTGTTTGGTGCTACATTTTGACGTCACTTAACGAACACTTTAAACGTCTGACTGAATTAGATATATTGGTGTTTGGATTTATTTTCTTAGTTCGAACGTTTTCTAACATTTCAGATAGTTTTCATAAATACGTTCAACAAAAGTTGTAACAGTTTTTATTTATCAGATTATTCAAACAAAATGGCGCCGACAATGTGTCGGTTCAAAATACAGAGGGAGGAAATAAAAACGGCGAGCGTATGTTGTGAAATATATGAGGCTTCCGGCCTTCTTTTTTATATAAGAGAAATCTCCGATAAGGTTACAATGGAGAAATTAATATCAAAATGTAACTAAAAATTGATTACAGTCTAACTTGCCCATGCGACCACGTGTATTTTTAAATTCTCTCTATTTCTTTAATGTATGAAGCGACTTTTGCTCAACGCGACCAGCAACCGCTATTTAGTCAACTAATTGAGGTCAATCATTAAACGACCACTTTAACCTGTCTGGTAATTGTGTTTTTAGAGAACGATGCCTCGTATTGTCACAAGTGTCAACAATCAAAACATAATATATAAATGTGTGAAAAACTTCCTAAACGGTTTTAGCGTATGCAAAAATCAGATTGTTTACGTAAGCCATCATTTATTCAGTCAGAAATCTGTAATGGATTGCAATGTCTCTGCCATTGTCTTGTCCATGATTGTGACATTTCCTTTCAACCATGTCTGAAGGTATCACTAATTTTACTTGGTTTTACTATTAGTTTAATCTGATGGTGAACACTCCAAAATCAGTCAAAAGCCATGACACGTACTCGAGATCCAACCAAGAAATCACATACCTACGGAAGCGTCCTGGTGCCAATTTAACATGTTCTATAAAAAACTGATAACTCCTATGTAGGACTTTGTAACTCCTACGTATGACTTTATGACTCCTACGTAGG